GATTGGCGCTGTCAGCTTCCTGGCGGGCTCGGCACATGGAGCTGCGAACACGCCCGAGCCCATCCTGATGCTGGGCACACACCTTACAACCATCGCAAGACTTTTGTCTTGCGATGGTTGTAAGGTACTTAAAAAAAAACGTACGATCTGCCCATCTTGGACAGGCAGCTCGTACTTGTGATGATCGCAAGCCGCGCCCCCGAGGGGCGGGCTTCCGATGACCCCAGTGCCGAACGGGCAGTGTGCGCTTGCGCACACCGACCCGTCCGGCTTTTATCTTACGAACATGCTACACACCCGCCAAACATCGTGCCATGCTCGGCGGGTTTTCGAACATGTTCGTAAGTTTAAAGTCGTGCGACCGTACAGTAGTAGAGGTCGCACGGCTTCCACACACCTTACGATCATCGTACGATCGCGGGATTTCCCGCCATTATCGCAAGGTGTGTGGGCACCCTTAGTCCTGATCACAGCCGAGACCTTGTCAAATTTCCCTCCAGTGTTATATTTGGTATAAATCATCGGAAACGGATCTCCCTTTAGTTCCCTATACACACTACAATCTGATCGTACAAATCAGCTTTAGATCTACCAAACCTGCGGTGTACTAGGACAGGGGTCAGTAACCTGTGGCTCCGGAGCCGCATGCGGCTCTTTCATCCATCTGCTGCGGCTCCCTGTCCGGGGGCGGAACTACCGCCAGGGCCTCGGTACGGGTGTAACTGTACACTCTGTGCTGTTATTTCATTTACCGTATTTTGCGGTCCATAAGACGCACCGGACCATAGGACGCAGGGAGGTCCGGCGCGCCTTATGGAGCACTCGAGACTGTAGCTTCTGTCACAGCTTCTATGACAGAAGCTGTGACAGAAGCTGCAGTTAGTGACCGCTGACACAGGTGGCGCTGTGATTACAGCGCCACGGTCTCAGTGATGACACAGAGCAGGCGAAGAACGTCTATTCTTCGTCTGCTCTATGGTGATCTCGATCGTCGCCGCTGCTCGGTTTTAATACGAGTGATCTCGTTAGATCACTCGTATTAAACGAGCAGTGGCTCCTGATGCTGTACTCGATCGCCGCCGCTCGGCTTTAATACGAGTGATGTCGTTAGATCACTCGTATTAAACAAGCAGTGGCTCCTACTACTCGCCCGGCGCCCGAAACTGCATGTCTCGGGCGTCGGGATTCGCTCCATAAGACGCAGGCACTTTTTCCCCCTCCTTTTGGGTGGAAAAAAGTGCGTCTTATGGAGCGAAAAATACGGTAATTAGACAAGTGGATTATAAATGGGGAGCATTACACTGTCATGTTGCCTATTATAATCTATTTCTCTGATTACATGATTAGACAGGGCCGCTGTTCTATCAAAGTTTGTGTCTAGGTTGGACTGTGTGATCAGTGATGTGGTCACACATTTCAATGTAACCCCGCCCAGTTTTTTGGCGGTGGAATGTGTGACCACCAATAGGTCAAACATTCCAACGCTTTCTCAGCTGTTTCAGGGCAGATCGGCATCGCAGATCGTATGTGCAGGAGAACCGATCTGTCCTGAAACTCTTCTATCCGACTTTGTGAGTGGGGTGGAATGTGAGATCGCACTCAGAATCGGATAGAAGTGGGCTTCAGGACCGAACAGCTCAGCCCAGAGTCCAGTGCGTTACTAAGCCCACATATACATGCTATACATGGCATTAAGGTAAAAAACGATATATGACGTGTTATCTTCATTTTAGATGTCAAAAGGGTTTTGTGGCTCCCGGGGATTTCTTTTCTGTGGGAAACGGGTCCAAATGGCTCTTTGAGTGTTTAAGGTTGCTGACCCCCTGTACTAGGAGCACCTACCTGGTCTACCCAGCCAATCTCTATCCAAATCGGGGAGGCCCTTGCACTAGATCTAAAGCAGAACGTACAATCAGGTTGTAGCACGCGTGGGGAGTTTGTAATGAAATACGTAAACCAGCAATAAAGCAAAAAGGTTTTAAAAAGCACTTAAAAACAATCCTCAGCCCCCACCGGCCATCACTGCAGAATGGACGGGGTGCATGTATGCCAAGTCTGGGAGTGAAAATGTGGCGACCAATCAGATACAAGGTTCCAATTTTTTAAAAGCGCCCGCAGAGGCAACGTGACCCGACCTATGTGAACCCGGCTGTACTGACCATATGTGCATGTGTGTTGGGGGGAGGAGGGGGGGGGGGGGGGGA